ATGTCATGCGCCTAGTCCTTGCTATCAGCGCAGACTGAATTCTATCAGTAACCCATCGTTTCAAACTCCAAAGCGTTAGCCACTAGACCAATTAGGCCACAAGAGCCATCTCTTGCTCAACAGGCATCAGTTATTATTTGTGTAAGTGAATGTTTGATTTTCCTGTTGATTGATTGGACTAGTGGATAACTATTTGGCGTACGGAATAATGGGTTACAGGGTTTGAGTCTCAGTGGGAACACTATCACTCACTGGAGAATGTAGGTACATCAGATGATGAGTTCCAAATAGGATGAAACGAGCGTTATGGATTCCATTACTAGTCACCATCAATCAAATTAGTTCAAACTAATCCTCAGATGTCGTCGAAGTGCCCGTATTAGGATATGACATGTCAACATTCCGGTTCAATCAATCAACGGGAAAATCAAAAATTCACTTATACAAATAACCCTTTCATTATGGATAAAATTTATTTTGATACAGTAACACAGTGTTATACAATGATATTTACCAATGAGGTTACTGAGTCCTTGTTCATCGAGTCTACACCTAACACATGCAAAAAAAGTGACCCAATGCAAAGGCCAGAGGTATGAAAGATATTATTACTACTCAAATCAGAGGATAATAAATGATGTTAAAGTGTATTCAATTCACATTCTAACAAGTTATTTATTTTACTAGAAAAATATCTTATTTCCCATTTGATGGCATTTCATTGATGACATTAATATCATTTCCGAATGCACCTTATCTTGTATTGATTTTATTTAAATGTTTCATCAGTTTTAATCATGTATATAAATGAAACACGAAAGTTGTGTGAGTGCCTTGATATGATAGCGGTTAGACTAAAAGCAGTTACCCAATCCAATCCTATGACTTCAAATAAATCACAAAATATCATGCCGGATCGGTCGGGGCCCGGATTAACAACGACCGCGCTTTCTGCTGCCGTGTTACAGGACAGAAGTGATAAATACGCTACTGAGACACACCAAATGAAAAACAACAAACAAAAACAGGCCGTGTGTGACCGGTCTCAAGCAGTTGTCCCCTGGGCTCTGCGGTCACGCAACCAACTTCCACGGTGTGGGCAGCCGGGAAGTAACAATCGCCCCCACAATCCGAAGTGCACGCGAAACCTCTCTAATCCTCACTCACCTTTGTCTTCATCTTCATCTCTATTATCTTGCCTTCCTTCTACTAATGCAACTCCTCTACTTGATGGCTCTTCACTTCCTCTTCACTCTGTATGCACTGAAAACGATGGAAGCCAAAAAACCACCATCGATAGTCTCCTAAAGCCACGTCACCAATTTCATATAGGGGCATTTAATGTTAGGACACTTTGCCAAATAGGACAACAGGCATCACTAGCCAAGACTCTGGCATCCCGAGCCATTGATGTATGTTGTGTTTCAGAAACACGCATACAAGACCCAAGTGTGGTTATTCACCTAACCCCACCTGGCCAACAGGATGAATCTGCAAAATTCACCTTGAGGGTGTCAGGAGATGCGACGGCTAGCTCATGAGGATTAGCTGGTGTTGGGATAGCTCTGAGTACTAGGGCAGAAAAGACATTACTTGACTGGATCCCGGTAGATAGCCGAATGTGTGCTGTCCGTCTGAACGGATCAGTGAAAAGGAAAAAGGACTGCACTACTTGCCGATGCCTTTTCGTCATCCCCGCCTACGCCCCCACTGACTGCAGTTCGGATGAAACGAAGGATGAGTTCTATCAAAAGCTGTCTAGTTTGCTGCGAAAGGCTAAACGCTCAGATATAGTCGTTTTAGCTGGTGACTTTAATGCTCAAGTGGGGAAATTGTGCCAATCTGAGAAGAATGTTGGTGACACATACGGAATTCCGTGCCGGCGAACCGACAACGGTGACCGGCTCCTACAGTTCTGTTCAGATAATCACTTGTTTCTTGTAAGCACTAACTTCAAACACAAGGAGAGACACTGTTTGACCTGGCGACCTCCATCATCAAACCAACGCTGGACACAAATAGACCACCTAGCAATAAGCTATCGTTGGCGTGGGTCGGTAGGAGATTGTCGCTCCTTCTGGAACACGTGTGTAGATACCGATCACGCACTGGTCCGCGCTCGTGTGTGCTTACGACTGAACGGATGTAGGAAACAGCTGGCGATAAACCCATAACGTCCCCAGCTCGATCAGGAAACTAAGTCCCTATTTGAGGAAGAACTAGCTAAACACATATCTGAGTTCGACAGCTGCGCTCACCCTGAAGAAGCCTGGAAGAATATTCAGTCAGCCATAGATACAGCTGTAAAAGCTGTGAATAAGGTAAATCCAAAGGTGAGTAAAAACCATTGGATTTCGACTGCCTCATCCGAACTGATAGATGCTAGAAGACTTATTCCGGCGAGCTCCGAATTCAATGAGGAGCGAAAGCTGCACAAAAGGAAACTTACGAAAAGTCTCCGCAAGGACCGTGAACAGTGGTGGTTGACAAAGGCGAAAGAGATGGAAAAAGCATCGGCGATAGGCAACACTAGGCAACTCTTTAGACTCATCAGGGAAACGGGTGGGAGAAGGCAAATCATAAGTGAGACTATTTCTGAGAAAAGTGGCTCCTTAATTAGCTCTCAGGATAGACGCCTCGAACGCTGGAAAGAACACTTCGAGGAACAATTTAACTTGCCTACAGCCACACTGAGCCTCCCCGCCATCCAGCACACACCCGAATGGGATATAGACACTGGCCCGCCGTCTGTAAGTGAGGTCACCAAAGCTATCTGTAATTTGAAACGAGGCAAAGCGGCAGGACCCGACGGAATTATTCCGGAGGTGTTTAAATATGGGGGTGACATACTAGTATATAGTTTAACTAAGGTACTAGGTAACGTCTGGGAATCAGAGACGGTTCCATCAGACTGGGGTAAGTCACTTATCATACCAATATTCAAGAAGGGAGACAAGTCCTCATGCGATAATCATAGAGGAATCAGCCTAACGAACATAGTCTCTAAAGTCCTAGGCTCAGTAATCATGAACAGACTAAGCCGAACTCGGGAGGAACAAACGAGGGAAAATCAAGCGGGCTTTAGGTCAGGTAGAGGGTGCATAGATCATATCTTCACTCTCCGACAGATCCTAGAACATAGACACACTTTTAGGCGTCCGACAATCGCCATATTTCTTGACCTGAAGGCGGCCTTCGACTCTGTGGATCGAGAGGTACTATGGCAATGTTTGACTATGAAGGGAGTGCCAAGAAAGTACATTGCACTAATCAAGGCACTCTACTCAAACTCACGTAGCTGTGTAAGGGCTTATGGGGAATTGTCATCTGAACTGATAACAACCAGTGGTGTCCGTCAAGGATGTCCACTTTCCCCTTTTCTGTTTAACTTCATCATAGATATGCTAATGGAAGTATCCTTAACTGAACTTAACGACTTAGGAATCGACTTGTTACCAAGGAATAGTCTTATAGACTTAGAATACGCAGACGACATAGTCCTGTTAGGGGAGGACGCTGACAAAATGCAGAGTCTTCTGAACACCTTGAGCAGCAATCTTCGTATGTTTGGCATGCGATTCGCCCCTGTGAAATGTAAGATGCTGCTACAGGACTGGACTACGTCAACTCCTAGCTTAGTGATAGGGAGTGAAGTGATAGAACATGTTGACCACTTCACCTATTTAGGAAGTTGTATCAGCACCAACGGATTGATTGGTGACGAAATCACAGCACGGATCCAGAAAGCTCGGGCTGCTTTCGCTAACTTACACCGTCTCTGGCGTAGGCGTGACATCCGACTGTCAATCAAGGGACGTGTATACTGCTCAGCAGTTCGCTCCGTCCTTCTCTATGGCGGTGAGACGTGGCCATTGAGAGCGGAAGACATGAAGAGATTGTCTGTTTTTGACCACAGATGTTTACGATCTCTTTATCACGTTAGGTGGCATAATAAGGTAAGTAATGTTGACGTTAGGCGTAGAGTGTTGGGCAAAGAGGGAAAATCAATCGAAGAGGCTATGAAGTTACATAGATTGAGATGGTTAGGCCACGTGCTGCGCATGCCTAGCCATCGTCTCCCCCGACGGGCATTACAAGCTGATATAGGTGCAGGTTGGAAAAGAGTAAGTGGTGGCCAAACAAAAACATGGCATCAATCCATGAAATCCCTGACAGTTAAACTGAGTCAGGTAGGGAGATGCAGACTTCCGGGTTGGGGCCCACTCTCGGGACTCTAAGAATCAATGGCTGGAGACAATAGGTGACATGGCTCAAAATCGTTGTCAGTGGCGCAGATGTATTCAGTCTCTTTAACCTTCATATTCCTTTCTACCATTACTCATTCTGTTTCACTCTTATACTTATCTAAATTCTATTGATTCTCTTCTCTCATTTTCCTGTCTACCTTTGTGTGCTCTTTGGAACGTGGCAACTCGAACTGCTGCACCTCGGTGCCAAGTTCTATGTTGAATCCAGCAGCAGCAGCCTTGATATGATTATGAGCAGTAATAATTTGTGCTCGAAAGGTGGTCACTGTGATTTATTAAAATAAAATGGTATCTATAATGGAGTTATACTCTACCACAGTGACCAAGGTTCATACTTATATCAAATTACTCTAATCATTTTATCTATTTTAATTGACCCTTTATTTTTCATATAAATTGATTTAACAAGTAAATGTGTTATCAGATTGTTCGCAATGTATTGAACAAATACATCACACTATTCAGACTAACTCTATCCTCTAGTAACTTGCCAGTAACATCGATATTCTGATCATTGAATTATCCAAGTCCTTTATTATTTTCCAGAAAAATTTTACGCTCTATCTTTTCATTTAGTTTTTTTAGTTATATGATCTGTTGACGAATGTTTATCAGTACATAAAGCCTAGAATAAACTGTCGCGTACAGAATAACTTATGTAGCATAATATTATAAATTGCGATACTTTTGATTGTATTTTGTTTTTCTTTTGCCTATTTTTCTTTCCTATAGATAAATGAATCTGCATTACTATAATACTGTTCTCGTTCTTCTGGTAAATGTACTTATCTTTGGGTCTGCATCATTCAACAGTGAACACTGTATCCTTTAACAAATCATTATAACAGATTAAGTAATGTGTAATCTGTTCTCAACCTTATATTTCGTGCCTAGACACACGAGTAAAAACCATGGTCAGCAGAGATATCGTCATATTATTTCATTTTCAGAGTGCTCATTTTACAATCATTAAATCTTTGTCATTCATACGCATATGTAGTCGACCAAGTCGTCATTCTAGCTCTTTTTATTTTCTAGCTACTACATATTTTCTACGAATTACAGTAATTCAAACCAGCGTTGCTCAGATTGACAGTCATATTTATATTGACTAATTTTATCAAAGGAATACAGAACAGCTAGTCTGGTACTATTCAGCAGTGTGCAGGTATGATCCCACCAGGAATGAAACTCAAGACCTTCGGGTACGAGACCAGCCCATCGACGATTTGACCACTGAGTCAAACATCAGGGCTGGGTGTATGCATACAGCATACAACCTTCTTATAACCCTACACACAACCATCAAGTCTGATATCCCATCGACCTTGACAGATGTCTCATTATAAAGTCACGAGAACACTGTCAGAGTATCTGACAGACTAGGTACTCTATAATGTTATTTGGTTGATGGTGACTAACAGTCAAATCCAGGACACGCGGGTTTTGTTTTATTTCGCGCTCGCTATCCCAAATGCCTGATGTTATCTACCAAGCCACTTGGCTGGCGATCACTCCGCTATTGAGTGTGGGAGATCCGGGTTCAATTCCTAGCCGACGCACTCCTAAATATCGTCTAGCCGGTAGTGTGTTACTACCACTTCTAACTTATGAGATTCAATCCATTATGGATAAGATTTTATTTTGATAAATCACACAGTGTTACACAGTAATATTAACTGATGATGTTTCGAGCACAAATTATTGCTCATATGATATTACTGTGTAACACTGTGTGATTTATCAAAATAAAATCTTATTCATAATGGAGTTGCACTTTACCACAGTGCCCAAGTTTTATACTTATGAGATTCATTTAAATCACTGCTTGTAAAGTTCAAAATTTCTTTTTTAGTGCATAGTTTATCGTCCTTTAAGGTATTTTTAGTAGAGCTAGGAAAAACTGATTTTTTTTAGTTACGTCCGCTAGTTGGCATCACGTACAGACCAGTGAGTATCAAAGATCATTAGGCATCTGTTTTGTAGTGTCTTAGGTCTCTTCCACAGCTGTACCCTAAAGTTAATGATTTGGTTCAACTCAACTTTGAGTTATGTGCTATTAATAATGCCTACGTGTTAATAGGTAGACGTATTGCTTTCCTTGAAAATGACATGGTTTTAAAAATCTATTCCATTAGAATGGTTATTTTACTTAACAATTAACATAGACAATCAAGCCTCATTTCGTACTAAAAGAGAGATTCAATTCAATGAAATATCTAGAATTCTGAAAGAAGTGCCCGCATTTCAGCACGATGCTATTGCTGGGCGAATCTTCGATACTATAATTGCTGTAAGTTGTTTGTGTGTGTTTTTTTTGTAAACAACTGTAGACATGCAATAATGTTAGTCTTTTGGGTTTTACGTAACCGTACTTTCTTCCCAGGATTAGACGCTGAATACCTTACCACATACTTTTGATCATACTTTAGTAACCAAACAGGTGACTGGCTGTGACTGAGTTTTCATGGTAAAACTCAGTACAAATGTGCAGAAGTTCAAGATATCATACGGATAGTGCACTAAGTGTCAAAGCAACTATAGCGAACGGAAATGTACATGAGAATGAATAGTTAAATGGAGATTTATTGGATATGGACAATCAAAAAATGTGAATGCATTGAGGCCATTGAGAATGTTTTTTTGCCATATCACCAACACTCTCAAGCCACTGATTCTTATCACCTTGAGGACTCCAACCTGGCAGTCTACACCTCCCTATGTGGCTACCTCAAATTAGCAGTCAGAGACTTCATGTTTTGATCTGACTACTCCAAAACTTTTTTCCAGTCTAATCTTATCTCAGCTAACATTGTTCGAAGAGGAAGGCGACGACTTCGCATACATAACAGACGTCCTAGCTATCTTGATATAAGTATAAAACTTGGGCACTGTGGTAGAGCATAACTCCATTATGGATAAGATTTTATTTTGATAAATCACACAGTGGTGTTATACAGTAATATTAACTGATGACGTTTCGAGCACAAACTATTGCTCATAATCATATCAAGTTACTCACACAATTTTCCTTCATTTATATACATGTGTGGAATCGATTAGATATTGGAATAAAATTCAATATGAGATAATGTACATTCAGAAATAATAATATGAGTGTTATTGATCAATTACAATCAGATGGGAAATAAAACGAGTGTTTCTATAGTCATAATAAGTTACTTGTTAGAATGTTGTGATGTGTTTGAATTGAAATAGAATTTTAAGATTATTTATTATTCTCTTCTGATTTGACCGGCGGTAATAATATCTTCCATATTTCTGGTATTTGCATTGAGTCATTTCTGTTGCATGTGTTGGGTGTAGACTCAATGAACCAGGATTCAGTAATCAATCTCTCTCTCCACCTACCTATGTTACTCTTTAGAATTTTAACCCTATCCCACCCTATTGTGTGGTTGTTTGTTAATGCGTGAAGTGCAATTGCTGAGCTTTTTTCTAAATTACTTATCTTTTCAGGGTCAACCATTCTTCCCTTAGCTAAATTCTTATGTTCTGATAATCTGACTACCCCCGACCTACTAGTTTGACCTATGTAATTGACTTCACAGTCATTGCAGGGTATTTTGTAAATTATATTATTTTGTTTAATTGGGTCAACAGGGTCCTTTAACCTACAGAGCTTGTCCCTGAGTGAGTTTGTAGGTTTAAATGCCACCCTAATTCCTGCTTTATTAAGAATCCTACGTAGGGTCTCAGATGTCCCCTCCTTATATGGTATTACAGTGGATGACTTATATTCTCTCTTATTTATGTTATCATTACTAGTTCCACAATTATTTTTATTTTGTTTTTGGCCTTTAGTGATCTTCCTAATGAATTTTATAGGATAGTTATTTAACACCAACGCTTCTTCTATCTGTTTTATTTCGTCATTTAGGTCTTTTTTGTGCTACTTAGTGCTATGGCTCGGTTTGTTAGACACTTAACTAAGCCTGCCTTAACAGTTAACGGATGAGACGAATTAAAATCTAAATATCTATTAGAATGCGTTGGTTTTCTATAAACACTAGTGTGAAGTTTACCTTCTTCTATTCGTTTTATTTTACAATCTAACATAGCTAATTCTCCTTGTTCATCTTCCGATTCAAATGTGAATTTTATTCCCTCTACTAGTGAGTTTATATGTGTCAAGAAGCTAGAGATATGTTCTGTTTTTAACACTGTGAAAGTGTCATCCACATATCTCCACCATATTTTTGGAGTAGGATTAAATGTATTGAGAGCAATATTTTCCCAACTGTCCATAAATATGTCTGCTACGATAGGGGATATTGGTGATCCCATTGCTACACCTTCTGTTTGTCTATATATTTTGCCTTGGAATTTAAAGATAGTAGATGTGAGGCATAACTGAATCCCTAAAATAATTTCTTCAATGGACAGCTTTGTCCTATGATTGAGTTCAGGATCCGCAGTTAGTTCTTTTTTAACTGCTTCTAAGGCCATATTGACTGGTATATTAGTATAAAGACTAGTTATATCAAAACTAACCATTGTTTCATCATTTTCTAGTTGAATGTCATTTAGTTTATTTTTCATCTCATATGAATTAGTTAGTCTAGAGTTTGAACGATTTCTAATGGGGCATAATATTAGAGCTAAATGTTTTGATAATTCATAAGTAGGGGTATTTCTAAAATCTACTATTGGTCGTATTGGACAACCTGGCTTATGTATTTTAATAGTACCATACATTCTACTAGCATTATTAGTTTTAGGCATTAAATTAAACCATTTAGACTCATCCAGTGACGGCTTCGTTCTGCGTATTAGTTCTGTTGTAGATTTCTTAACCTTATTCATTATTGTATCTACAGGCCTCTTAATTTCTTCATATGGACCCGTTTGAATATGTTCAGTAACTTTTTTGATATAGTCAGATTTATTCAACACTGCGGTGGCGTTTCCTTTGTCAGCTTTCGCGATGACAATATTTTTATCCTGTTTTAGACTAATTACAGCTTCTCTTTCCGATTTTGTCAAGTTTGATTTTGCCTTCTTTTGATTTTTCAAAGTTAATGCACATTGTGCTCGAACCTCTTCTGCTGTTGTCTTATCTGTTGAACCTAGTGCTACTTCTATGTTAGGAATGACATCCTAATTTATTAACTAATTAATTAATTTATTAACTGTTAGGTTGAAATTTAGTCTTTTCTCGAACACTTTTATCTCACTAGAGCTTAGTTCCCTTGATGAGTGGTTGATCACCCATTTTGTTCTGTCAACAGAGGATGAAACGCTGACGTCAGTTTCATTTATTGTGTTCTTTTCTTCCATTCGTTTGTTGAATTTTTTGATTTGTGTGATTTTTGATTTTCTTAATGCTGATTCTCTAGCTTTTTCGGATGTTTCTACAACGATTACATAATCTTTGTCATTGACCATACATTTGAGTTTGTGTTTGAGTTTTTCGATTTCATTTCGTATATTATTGAGTTTCACAGTAATTCGATGTAGTTCTTCTCTTAGACATAATCTTTTGATATGTTCAGCTGCTGATGTTATTTTTCTTGAATTAATTGGAGTACGTATGCGTAGATATTGTGGAATTATATAATTTTTTAAACACCGACTGTTAAAAATCCGATGGCTTGTTAATCTCGCTTCTGTTTGAGAAAGTCGTGTGAGTTTATTGATAAGCTTCCTAGTAGGAAGACCTTACGTATTATTGATATAAGTATAAAACTTGGAGTGACTAGAATTGTTTACACAAAAAGGATGAAAACAAGAGGAGGAGAAATCTCTGATGAGGAGGACAGTATTTATTCCAAGGATGGCCGCAGGAGACACAACGTCTAAACGTGTTCCCTCTGAATACAGATTTCTGACTCGATTGATCTTATCACCGTAGCTTCAGTCAGGTGTGTAAGATGTAAGCGAACTGCATGTGACAGTGTCTTAGGTTTTTAACATGTAACACTGAAGGTAATGTTAGCACGTATGTGTTGTCGTGTATCGACTAAATGTGGATAGAATTGAGCTTGTAATAGACTCAGTTTCATTCCTTGTGTACCAGGCTGGCAAGTGTTCTTGAAAGAAAACAGATAAACCTGCCTCATCTTACATCCCATATATGTTGATTCACAGGAACAGTTAAAACAGTATTTGTTTTTCATACAAATACTATTTATCTTGTCATAATACAACCTGATACTAGTTTAATTTTAAGTCCTAGGAGCATGCTATGTTTAAATGTATTGGCTACACACGTCAGTATGATATGGCTACATGAACCTATAGAGAATTTAATGAAAAGAGTATTTTTCTTTCACACCGTCTTTTAATTCATTGTGTGGGAATATTTCAGACCATGAAGTAATCATATAAACATTTAAGGCAAGTTATCCTCGTGTTTCTTCTTTACATCTTTTGCTATTTTTTCAGCTTCTTCGAGACTCATATAACATACTACGTTTAAAGGATGTCCACTCAGAGACTAAAGATGACACTGTAGGACAAAGTGAGTATTCTCTCCTGCAGCAATTGAAATTTGAATTTCATGTAATATAGTCAGAAACATGTTAGCCTCTTATTGATGGAAAGTAAAACTCTGAGGGTATGCATATTACGTCGTCTATCATTCAGTGGTTGATTCATCCACATATTCCAGTTCGCTTGTAATGCTATTCATTGATTTAAACATATGAATTTAATCCAGTGTGTTGCCGATTAGAATCCTTTCAAACCATTTGAAGTTCAAATAAACTGTTATAATTATTATAATCACTAACCTTTAGTTTATCGGTTGAAATAAAGCTGTATGTGGTGTAAATTTGTTCATATCTTATGTGGTAACTGTCAGTCCGACCACCACGAATACACATAATTCCGTAATAGCACGTCACACTTTCAGTTGTTCATCTTTTATATCAGACTGTATTTTTACATCGATTCCGTGTGAAGATGCCTCAACACCGTCCTTGATTGACTTTTCTCGATACCATTGTGGATTTATGTTGCATCAGTGGTTCAGTGGTAGAATACTGTCTAGACACTTAGACGATTCCCGGTCGATACACTCCGAAAACATCTAGTTTTACAGCCAGTAGTAAGCCTAGAAAAGAGGGAAAGTCGGACGTAAAGCTGGCAGCCCCGTCCTGTGAAAATAGCAGCAACGCTATTGGAACTTTAAAGTCCGAGGTCTTATGTTTTACTAGGAATGCAAAGGAATAAATAAAAGTAGTGGATTGTGATGGATTCGCAGTTAAAAGTTATCAGTTAAACATTTCAAATTTTGTCGTTTATTCGATTTATATGCATGTTTACATGCTCACCAGACTTTTTCTGTCCTTACTGGTGTTCATTTGAATAACAGAAAAATGCCATCATATCGAGATAATCATAGAGAAATGTAACTGCATTGACTGAAACTCATTATTTCACTTCATCGTGTCTTGCAAATAATACCAAAATAAAGAACTTAAGAAAAGTGGACAGACAATGAGATACACTGGAATACACTTATATAGAGGCGATAGATACAGTATTGATTCGACCATATTTTGATTATTGCTTATGCAGATAGCATCTATACTGCTGTCATCCACTCTTATTAATGTTATTTACATTACCCTATACAGATTACAACAACTTACGGACACTTCCATGTCATGTTTTGGCTTGGTTACTGTTTGTAGTTTCTAACTAGGCTGGGGGGGAGCCATGTATAGTGTATGCAATCCCATGACTGACTTGAGTTCTGGTATTAGATTTTTCATCTAATCTTTACATTGCTGATATATTCTCTCATTACATCATACTTGTATCTCAGGGAATTTATGTCTAAAAATGTGTAGGCTGTATGTATTTTTCAATTGCGATAATTATCGTTCACTATTCTTTTGACAAATTATCGAGGCGGTAACAGAAATTTCACCTTTATAGTATATTGTAAGCCGAATTAATCTATCAGGATTTTGAAAAGTATTCAATATAGTCATGCTTCACATGATAAAGTCTCGTGGCTTCCAAAGGATATTTAGATCAATTTTCGCATTTTACAGTTTACAGATTTCACCACAGTTTCCTTTGGAAACCGAAATTATTCATGCTACAATATGTGATCTGTTTGAGACTATGAATAGCAGTAAAAAAAGAAGCAAGCATAAATGCACACTATGCTATAGACTGGCTACAGATAGATTGAAATGAATAAGGTAAGTGACATCCAACTACTCATGTCATTCATCAGTAGTATATAGCACCATTCATTTTACAAAAGGAAAAGGTAAGCTATTCGACTAAAGTCTCTTTTAAGTCATCTAACATAGTTAGGTGGTCAATGAGAAGGTTGCCTTTTGTTTTGAGGCAAATATTTAAATTAATCAATTATCATTCCTTTTAATATTATTATGGTTTTAATAGCCAAAGTGTATTTAATTTCAGCATTTGCATTGACATTTGAAAATACTGCTGTATTATGTGATCTTATCCTACGCTTTCCGGATTCCTTTCATTCTAAATATGATAATAATGATGATGTATCAAATTTATTAAAATGGTCATTTAATCTATTGCGTGAATCAAAACTGATGACCAAATCAGATGAAAATATATTACATCTAACTGAACAAGAATTGAATTTTATTCCACGCGAAGAAAATTATGTGAATGAGTTTAGTTCACATCAGGTAATCAGTGTTTTTTATTCATTCAAGAAGTAATGCTCATTAGTAATTTTAATATGTTAATTAGTGAATAAGGAGTATTCTTTTTGATAACTTCTACAAGTTCTGCAGTTATATCACCGTAATAATTAAAGAATTCTTTCAGGATTTCATCATGAACTGACATTGGTTAGAGAACCATTTGAAGAGTGTGAGGACAAATACTCGCTGATGACATTCCCTAGTGGTCACACTATATCGTGAATTGGCAGAAGTTAAAATTTATGGACTGGCTGGCCATTGGATTGGGTCCCAGTGGCTTAATGGTCTACGAGGTCGCCTTGTAGCTGGGATGTCTTGGACTCGAGCCCCAGTAGGTGTGTATTAGTGAAGAATCCCAAACTAAGACGAAGCAGGTTTCCATTGTTTCCGGGCTTTTCAGTAGTTCTTTAACCTATGTCAGCTCATGATGAAATCCTGTAACCTATCAAATCCCTACAAACCAATACTTGAAGAATCATTGTTGTTGACGATATTAATGCTTGTTGGATAATGTTGAATCGTTAAGATTAGGCGTTGGTAGTTCAACGGTAGAATCCTTGCTAACCCCACGCATGTGGTCTGAGTTTGATCTCGGTTGACTCATTCCCAAACCTCGCTTGACCGCCAGTAAACCCAGAAAACATTGGGCATGAGATAACTAGCACCCCCACCGCGTAAAAAGGATAGTACCGCTAATGAAACCTCACAGCTGAAGCTTGGAGCTCTATGTTCCACTCGGAACGCAAAGGAGTGATAAAAATCCGAGAAGTGTATATGAGTAAATTCTTACTAGATCGCAGCTAAAATTAATGTGTTTGATAATATGCATAAATGTAGTACTAAATTGAACTTCAGATTTTTAAGTAAAGGATCATGAGTGAAAATTAATATATGTTGTATACGTCTTCACTAATCCAGTTTTTTAATCACGTTTTTATTCATTCATTCATTTGTTTGTTTGTTTCCTTTCTTTTTTGCATTTTGTTCACTTTTTAACAAAAATGAAAGGAGGTAAAAGAATTTTTCCATGTCGACTTAGTTACGAACCAGCATCAGTTAGAGAATTATTGAAAACATGGCGGCACTGAACAGACGTTTCGCCGAAGTTTGAGACTCTTTAGCAGTGCGCATTCATGACACCATCTGAGATCAAACCCAGGATCCTTAGGTCACAAGGTCAAGTATTGGCAGTAGTGCTACATTACGAATTGATACAAGTTGGAATTCAGAGATCACTGAATTCCAGCGCAGTGGCTGAATAGTCTATGTACTGGCCTCGTAACCTAATGGTTCTCGGTTCGATCCTTGTTGGTATCGGGGTCGCTTACTGATGGATGGAGTGTTACAAATTAGGATGAAACACCTGTCCAATGCTACTTGGTTTTCAATGGCCCCTTTAGCGATGTTGGCTGGTGGTGACATGTACAATCAATTTAATTCAAATCCCTATAAAACTAAATATCTAATAAATTTGAGCTGTTGTGTTATTGCAGTTAATTAAATTAAAATATTGTACTTTGAATCAATGAACCTTGTGTTGTTCTTACGTTTCGCAATTTATTAATGTGTAAATACTTCATTCATCTCATACTCTTTGGTACGGTTAGAAGTGTTCTGTTGTTAACTTGAATTATTATTATCATCATTATATGTTAATATTCTTAATGACTATTTTTAAGCTTAACCATATTGACTTCTGGTATTCAAATAATAACAGAGTTAGTGAGCTAACTTAAGGACCGAAAGCTGCTACCTTGACGTGGTGGTCGGGCTTGCATATCGCAATGACCCAACGAGCTGCACTGCCTGGAACTTAAGTTCCTGTAGGTCCTACCATGCCAGAAAGGTTGTTTGGATAGCGGTTAGACAAAAAGCAGCTACCCGATCCAATGCCATGACTCAAACAAAATCACAAAATATCATACCGGATCGGTCGGGGCCCGGATTAACAACGACTGCGCTTTCTGCTGCCGTGTTACAGGGCAGAAGTGATAAATATGCTACTGAGACACACCAAATGAAAAACAACAAACAAAAACAGGCCGTGTGTGACCGGTCTCAAGCAGTTGTCCCCTGGGCTCTGCGGTCACGCAACCAACTTCCACGGTGTGGGCAGCCGGGAAGTAACAATCGCCCTCACAATCCGAAGTGCACGCGAAACCTCTCTAATCCTCACTCACCTTTGTCTTCATCTTCATCTCTATTATCTTGCCTTCCTTCTACTAATGCAACTCCTCTACTTGATGGCTCTTCAATTCCTCTTCACTCTGTATGCACTGATAACGATGGAAGCCAAAAAGCCACCATCGATAGTCTGTTGAATCCAGCCAGCCAGAGCTAACTTAAGACTCGCATGATTAATGTAGCCAACCGATGATCATACTGCACTTTATTGTTATGCACTAATTTGATGTTTGATAGCAGTCGGTAGGATGCCTTGAATGCAACTCATTCACTTAAGCACAAAATGTTCAGCCACCAGGTCCCGGGTTCGAGTCCCACTCCACGCACTACTTCAATATAGACAATCGGGTATTATCGTCATCTCTCACACAACATAGTTTGTTCTTAACCTAGTATATGTAAAATATGAACTTCATGCTTACTGGCACTCGTCAGCAAGACGTATCTCCAACCTAGATGTAACTAATGTTCCCTCTGTGGAATGGCTACTACTTGTTGATCAATCAGTTGGCTATATTAGTTTTTTTTTAGTTAATGAATTTGTTAGGAATGTGATTGTTTTAAGCTTACTTAAATTCATGGTTGATTATTGTTTTTCCTCTCGGTAAGTGTAGATAATCACTGAATGTTTGCAGGAAACATCAAAACTAATAGCTAAGTTTGCATACACCTTTTCTGTATGGTAAAGTAGTTTAAATCGGATCAGAAAGACATATGCTAACCTTGGCTATTCTTGAATTCATCTTCGTGACGTTCCTTTTCCACTGACAAGAAAAGTGGTGTGAGTCATTCATTTAGTAAGTTCCGGACTCGAATCCTGCGTTTACATAATTTCATCAAGCTTCACACTATAAATGTAGCTCATATTTTGGTATAGGAAGAGTAAATGAAATCTAGTTTTTATTAGGGTGAAAGTACATCAAAGAACTGGTGTTTCATAACTGTCTGTATCAGCAAATTAACTATGGGTTTGATGAAATATTTAGCAAAAACTATTTACTAACTGCATATAACTCACATATTCATTTCATACAGTAAGACAATGTTGTTGCCAAATGGAGTACATTAACTAGTAAAGTTAACTGTTGGAAAAACTATCTGTTAATACCCCGTATATAATTTCTTCTTATCACTGCACCAAGTATCATTGAATCAAGTTTCATGCATTTCGTTTCCAATATCTGTTTGTTAGACCGTTCGAATAATTAATTATTGTTGAATGAATCATGTGTCGGGTTCGTGCAGATTTCGTCACGAACTAATTGATATCAGTTGACTAAATTTAGCGTAGTTTTAAAACAGTCTAAAGTGATAACAGTGTGTCTATTTGTTTTTCACTGTTTTTGATACATGCTTTTCGGTGTTTATTTTATCGCTTACTTCACCCCCTGTATTTCTTCAACTTGTGTGTAGAAAATGATCAAAGAGAAACTGGAAGCTGATGCAGCTCGTAAAGCGTCCAAACGTCATAAACGTGCCAAGAAGCCCAGAATCACACCGGTTCGAAGTGAACTTTAGATAGTACTTATAATGACAACCAGTTTATAATGAAATGTTTTGTTTTTGTAAAATATTTTGTCTATCTTTATGTATGTGATAGGTTCTTGTTTCTTTGGATTCTTTGGAGTGTGTGTGTATACGTGATAATGAAATTTCCGATTGAATTTTATACTTTTATTACCAATGGATTGTATTAATTTTTCAAAAAAAGAAATTAATACTAGATGTATTTGTTTTGTACGATTTCATGACTGTAATCATGCTGTTTTGTCTTCTGTACATCTGTAATTATTGTTATTATTATTATTAAAGCACAAACTCGGCACATTATGGGCAGAAAAAGATGTGTCACACAAAAGCCCGTAGTTTGGGCGAGAGCTGGCATACTTCTCGGACGACCAGAACGAAGCAGCTATTTGTCTCAGGGGGCTACCCTCGTGCCTTTGACTTGAAGTCTGGTCCACAAGATAGCTGGAGCTACGTGCTCACAATTACAAATGACCAAAACAGTCTCACACTATTCGATCCTTTCGGATTCTGGAGCCCATGTACACCATATGTTTGGAATCAGGGTTTTCCAGCTCTCTTAGGTAGACCTGTGTGACGAAATGAAGCATGGTTGAATGGGACAATTTAGACTAATATTGTTAGAATAACTTTGTTTTACTTATAGTGAAGTAAATAGTTCTTGTAGATATATTCTCAATTCTGAGAGATCATTAAACCATAATTTGTTAAAGTAGTAAAATTGAGCTCTTGGATCGAATCCCTTTCCACTAGAGAAATTAAATGACTTTGTAAACAAACACTAATACTTACAGAATTGTTCATAAACTAATTTATAAAAGTATATAAGTTGCAGTGACTGATAATTCAGCGTAGGACTTCAGCTTCCTTACTTCAAAAATCCACGGATGAGCAAGAAAAAAAGAGATTTAATAATATTAAGACGGACAGCAGCATACTGTGGGGAGGACGAATTAATGAAGAGCAGTAGAAAGTTTTATAGTCTGAAAAGGGATAGGGGTGAATACATTTTTTTTCTATTCCTTCACGTTCCTCAGTGGAACATAGGGCTGCAAGCTGGAGGCTTGAAGTTTCTGTAGCAGTGTTTATTTTTACAGGATGGGGTTGTTAACCTCATGCCCAACCTTTCCTCTTTACCAGCTTTATTTCTGGCTTAGCGGGGTAAAGGAGTGCGTCGGCCGGGGATCGAACCCCGAACCATGTGCACGATCGGCGAACGTCCCATCGCTATGCCACCGACGCACCGGTGAATACATTTAGACTTATATTAATAATAACCTGTCAAAAAAGTCTCGAATAATTGTTTCTTAACATTCCAAGAACCTGAAGACTGTGATCTACATAAACCTATATCGCGAACATTTGAACGAAAAGATTGAAAAACCGTAAAGTAGATCGGAGTGAACTGAGTTAATACATTTAAAAAATCTATTATCAATTGAAGTGGATAACAAAATATATAACTACCAACCTGTTTTCAGTTGTCGGAATTAGAACAGTAGAATGTGTGAAACAATAATCTGACGGTTTCTTCTTACACTGCTTCACACTTGTAGGAAAAGTACGTATTATGTAGGCGTTTACTGTCCCTTCAGAATTTTCTAGTTAGGTAATCACTGTTGTAAAATAGACTAAAACTCCTACGGTCAATAATTTTCAGCGTCATTCAGTCGGTGTGGGGAATAAAACAATCATTCTAATTCTATTACTGGCTATTCGTTAGTTCTTTCCCTTTTCAAATGTCGTTTTTCAGGGATTTGATTGGTTTCAAGTTAGATCATGAAATGACATAAGACAAAGGAACATTTAGAAACAGGAAGTACTGAACAGCTGTTTCATCACACTAGCCGACTCTTCATATGCAATACGTAGATCATTGACCATTCAACCACTGGGATGAAATTCAGTTATTCATTAATTCTAACTTCTGCCAATTTGCGACATATAACACCGCCGCCAGCTAATGTTATCAACGAGTATTTGTCCACCAAGCTATGAGGAAACAGTTGCCCAGTACTCCCTGGTTTTCTAACTGATGTCAGTTCGCGGTATAACTCAAACTCACTCAGTTCTTCGGTGCATCATTACCACCATTAAGTTCGTTAGTTAAACTATTGCGTTGCTCTATTTGACCAAACTAGTGTACACGTATATCCTAGTACTTCTTCGTGTTGTGATTACTTGACATCCACAATGTAAATCAAAGGGCACTTGAGAAGGAGTACTAACGTGTATTCTCGCAGTAGTCAAAAGTTGAGTGAGTACAATGTATCAATTGTTAACACGCAATCTTTAGAGTGATAAATAAATCAAAGTCCAATTACATAGTGAAAGTATACTGCGATGATGAATAATAAAATGGTTCACTACAAAACGATCGGTTCCAGTAAAAGATATAAGGAAAAGGACTATGAAAGTCAGAAACAGAATTCTAATATTAGCTTATCGTTGTCTGTTATGTGAAAAAAATATTTCACACTCTTGTACGTTGATTATTTGACACATCTCCAAGTTATAAAGTATCATGATAGTAGATTTTCACTTTCTATAGGATCCAGACATCAAATATGAATATTTTCACTAAAATTAAAGAAATCCTGTTAGACAGGTACAACCGTTTATAGTTGAGGTTGGACGATGTCTGTCATTTCTGTTCATGATCAGTGTTTGTGAATCATGCCAAGTAGTTGTGGCTGTTTTCATATAACGTGTCTAAAATATTCATTATATTACCAACGAAAATAATATCATATCAGTCTTTAGACATCGTTGTGGCCTTCGTACTACGAGCCGAAATGTCGGCAGACACCGAGCGTTTCGGTACAACACAATCAATCAATGGGAATTGCAAATTAACTTAAACAATATTACATTCACTATATCTATAAATGGCGTCGGTAACTGATGGAACTGATCCCTTGTACCACTTTGAAACTAAATAACTCCAGAGTATTATTATCCCTCCTAATTTTTTTTTATTCCTCACATATGTTCATTAGTAACTTTCCATATTCATTTTCTCGTTATTCGTGAGTACTCACTTTTATTGGTTAAACTACTGATTTATTCACTAACTGGAAACAATTTTATCCATTCTCATTTAGGTGGATACTAGCAGAGATTCGGTTGTTGAATCTTTAACTCAGGTAATACTCCATTAACAATTACGCATTCAAAAATGACCAACCCTCTGTTGACTAGATATCTTCTTAGTTTTGTTCAGTTAACTTAAGTGTTAAAAGTTATTCTTAATAGACGGTTGGAGGCAGTCAGCAGGAAGATTTGAACCCTGGTTTCATGCTTGTATGAACTCGCCACCTAGGTGTGTCTGCAACCTTGAAGGAAATCATGTCTCTTCTTAGGTTCAAATCTGGATCACCCAGTGCTGCAGTCACAGTCGTTACCACTGGGCTGTTCACGCTCGCGACAGACCTGTTGGACTGTAATGAGTACTCTGAATTGACGCTATATAGTAACTAATGTCATGCGTCTAGTCCTCCGTGTTGGTGCAGACTGAATTGTATCAATCAATTTATTCTTCCAGAAGACCTGATTCGCACTAAATCCCATTTGAGATTCTAATCTGTGTGTAAAACTTGGGCACTGTGGTAGTAAGTAATTCCATATTAGTTTGTTTATTGAATGTATCACACAGTGAAACAGTATTATTTACTGGATGACGTTTCGAATAAAATTTATTATCCATAATCATATCAATTATAATCACACGACTTCGAAACTTGAGTTTTATAGCTTTCTTTGTTCTCTCCTATTTGTCGTAAGGGTAGTTGAGTTTTCCAGATATCTGGGACAGGTGTCGAATCATTCCAATTACACGTATTTGTAGTTGATTCGATAAGCAAAGCTTCTGTTATCAATCTCTCCTTCCACCCTATTACATTAGATTTTAAAACTGTCATCTTATCCCATCCTATTGTATGGTTTTCCGTAATTGCATTTAGTTATATAGCCGAAATATTCCCTAGGTTTCTTATCTTATTAGGGTTAGCTAATCTAGATTTTGCTAGGTTTTTATGCTTGGCTAGTCTGACTGCCCCTGTTCTACTACTCTGACCTATGTATTTGACCTGACAGTCATTGCAGGGTATTAGATAAACTAAATTGTTTTGTTTAATGGGCCGCTGCCCATGGTCCTTTAACCGACAAACCTTGTTTCGAATTGGATTTGTGGTTTTGAATGCAAGCCACTTTTATTCCTGCCTTGTTAAGAATTCTGTGTAAGGTTTCCGAGGTTCCTTCTTTGTATACAAGTACTACTGATGATTTAGAAACCTCGTTGCTGGTGTTGTAATTATCTTGCGCATGTTTGACAGGCATGTCATCATTAATATTACTATTTCATACATGTATTCCCCTTAATGAATTTGAATAAAGCGAGAACTACAGTTTTTACAGAATAAAGTGATACCATCACTTATTTCGTTGCCTCCTCATCAGCTGCTTACAGGCCACAGTCATTATTAAGTATATCTACAGAAACAATTTTAATATACTTGCACAGAGTTCATTTTAAACAAAAATCAATCAATCAATGTATGCATACAGTAATTATATATATATATATATATATATATATAATATATAAAATTATGTAATATTAAACACTATTCCGAACAATGGTGATCATACACAATGGAAACTTTCGGCATTACGTATCCAGATGAAAATATCCAGTTACCAGGGTAAAGAAAGACTGATAACCGCTTCTTTCTGGACGCATAAATCAGGTTTCAGGCGCTTGATGGAGATGGCTTCAGCAAACTTGAGGAGAATTGAGCTCTTTTGCCTATTGATAATTCTGAACGATTTTGCGACGTCCACCTCATGAACCGTGTCATGAAGATGCCTGGCGATGGCACTGTTTGCAGCATTTGTTCCCTTTGGACATAAGCATTTTGGTACATGTTCAGAAAATCGCAGATATGCCCCTCTTTCTGTCCTCCCAATATAACTGCTGCCGCAGATACATGCAAATTTGTATATACAGTTGGAGTTAACATGAGAAGGATATCAATCGATTTTTGATTGCACCAAAGAGCAAGTTGTTCGATAGATGGGAACCAGCTTAGCTACAGGATAAGCTCTGGCTAGTGACGTACTCAGTCTTCTGTTGACCACTGCTGCAATGTTTTCACCTTTATAATGGCCAGGCATCTTCTTGACACGGTTCATGAGGTGGACGTCGCAAAATCGTTCAGAATTATCAATAGGCAAAAGAGCTCAATTCTCCTCAAGTTTGCTGAAGCCATCTCCATCAAGCGCCTGAAACC